TCCACTATCTAAGAGGGAACTTGTGTCATTATGTACCAGCCAACAGTGGACATTTTTGTAATGCAAAACAACAAACAAAATGCATTCCGTTACATATAGATTAAAGATACATGTACATTGTAAAATTGATTGAAATCCTGTGATTGTCATAATTGGAAAGTTCATAATAAATCTGTTTTTAGCAAATAAAAAAGAACATTAAGAATCTTCCTGCTGACCATTTACTTCCTAATTTAAATTTATTTATCATGCTTGAGGAATATTTAATGATGTTGGAGTGTGACTGTTGCTCCATAGGATCTAAGAGGGGACATGTGCCCTATGTAGCAACAGTGGATTCCTGTCATTTAATGTGTCATCGGTAATAGTCTTTTTGTCATGGGTAATGTGGGTTACACATTTCTTAGCAAAGGACAGCAGCTTCTCAGGTGGAGGATCAAACTTCAGGCTCTTGAATTTTTAAGTTGGTAAAGTTTTTTGCTTTAATGTTTTGTTTGGAGAAAGGAGGCAAGTTCAGAATAGGGAATGTGTGTGGGTCAAAAGCGTCAAATACCAGTGAACTAGTTATGAGCAATACTTTTGAATGAAGAACATATTATGAGTTGGAAAAGACTTAATTGAGAGTTATTTGGAAACTATTACTTGTTACATAACAATAGACCTTATTTACAAGTATAACTAAAGATTCTATTTAGGTTACATTATAATTTTCTTTTAAGAATCATACATTTCTTTTTTACTCATCCATGTTGCAGTGTGAGTGTCGATTCATGCTATCTAAGAGGGAACTTGTGTCATTATATACCAGCCAACAGTGGACATTTCTGTAATGCAAATCAACAAACAAAATGCACACCTATAAATATAGATTAAAGAAACAAGTACATTGTAAAATTGATTAAAACATGTCCTAATTGGTCAATATCATATTTGGAAGATTTGGGGGCTAAACCATTTCAAAGGTCTAGTAAAACTTAATAAATATGTTTTTAGCAATTAATAAAAAATTAATACAAAGTATCTTGCTGCTGACCATGTTGTTCCTACTTTTTATTTATTTATCTTAAAGTACTTATGAATCTCCTGACTTGTGGGCAGCCCTTCATTTTGATGCAGTGTCAAGATTGAAAATGGTTAAGCCATCAACTAAAGCTGAGCATCATATTTCATTACAAAACAATAATAACAAATCATGCTTGAGGAATATTTAATGATGTTGGAGTGTGACTGTTGCTCCATACTATCTAAGAGGGGACATGTGTCGTTATGTAGCAACCAACAGTGGATTCCTGTCATTTAATGCCATACAAGTGTGGACCTTTTTTTCTGTAGGCAATGCGGACCAGTAAATATTATGCATTCCTGATGAAAACTCATCAGGACATTAATGCTTCATGAATTAATTTGGGTAGCCCTTTATATTAGGGCTTTCCATAAAGTACACAGGTACATCGAAGCTTGCAAGTCTGTAACTAAACCAGCATTTTCATTCCACACTTCAACAAGGGATCGACTTTGCCTCTGGATGTCATGTCATCGGTAATAGTCTTTTTCTCATGGGTAATGTGGGTTACACATTTGTTAGCAAAGGCAGCAGCTTCTCAGGTGGAGGATCAAACTTCAGGCTCTTGAAGGTTTAAGTTGGTAAAGTTTTACTTATGACTCCCTAAACTTGTGGGCAGCCCTTCATTATAATACAGTGTCAAGAGTGAAAATGTTTAAGCCATCCATTAAAGCTGAGACTTTATATTTCATTACAAAAACATAACAAATCATGCGGAATAATTATTGATGCTGGATGTTGGAGTGTGACTGTTGCTCCATACTATCTAAGAGGGGACATGTGTCGTTATGTAGCAACCAACAGTGGATTCATGTCATTAAACCATACAAGTGTGGACCTTTTTTCTGTAGGCCTAATGCAAACATGAAAATACCACGCATTCCTGATGAAAACCCATCAGGACATCAATTTATTTGGGTAGCCTTTTATCTTACAGTCTGAAGCTTAATACTAGTTAGGAAATCTACTATTGCTGAGCCTTTAAGTTTTGTTTTAAAAGCATATTATCAAATCATGTGTCAACAGACTGCTTAGTTGAGATTATATTTTTCTCATAAGTATTATTGTTTTTGCTTTCGTTTGTCATACATGCTATAGTTTGAATGTCAAATTATCCTTATTAGAAAAAGGATAACTCATTATCTGTTGTCTGACTCATTATATTCATAAATGACTTTAGCCCCTAAAGATATCCAAATAGCCTTAACAGAGTGTAGTGGATGTGTGATTCAAAACCAGTCTAAGATTCAGTTATTAAGAGCAAATACAAAGTAACTCTTTAAAATGCATACATCACCATTCCACACAGGTCATAAAAATGACCATCCCACACAGAAGAATATGAATTCCCCTAAGAGAAAGTTAAAATAAGTGCACTAGTGTAATAAGATATTTTATTATTATTTAAACGGTATTTGAAACCTAGATCAAGTAATTTTTGTTGGTAATACTGTAGTGCTTGATATCAATGCATGCAGCAAAGTTACTTCTGAATAAAGTTTAAAGTTTATTTATTTTCAGTTAAAGTGATTAAAGTTTGGATCACGGTGAAATGTTTACACATCGCTCACATTAAAGTTAAATTATCCATTTTTGAAAGAAACAAAGAAAGTCTTTGAAGGTAAAAACACTCATTAGGTGAGAATGAGCACAGACAGTTCCACTGCATAACAATGGAGGTCCCCTCTTGGATAGGTAGCTATCGTTTAAGGATCTAAGTCCCCTCTTGGCAATTTCTTTAAAAAGCCAAAAAAAGCAAATTTGCAGTAATATTATGTTAAAAGACAGTAAAAGTAAATTTTGTATTATATTTATTTTACTTAAAAGGACTGGAAACACAGGTCCACACTTGGCAGTTTACTCCGACGGTGCACTGTTGGATAGGTACGCGTGTATGTGTGTGTGTGTGTGTGTGAAGATGTTATAAGTGTTGACAAAAATTTTTCGATCAATTTCTTAGTTGATTGTCAGAAAAGTGATTAACCATTTGATTCCTTATTGCCAAACATGCTGTTCAGCAGATGTGCTTGGTGAATTATTTCACCTATGCTACTTAAATGTGAAGATTTGCTCCTTTATTATTTTCCTGTTTCAATTTCAGTTTATCAGAAGAATTATCAACAGATTAATTGATAATAAAAAGTAATCCTCAGTTGAATCTCAGTCATATACTTTTTCTAATGTGACAGCCCCTCTTTCACAGTGCCTGGTGCACCACAGCTCCAAGGTTACAGAGGAAGTTGTCAACATCAACCTCCAATTAGCACCATGGAGGAGTTACATACTGTTTTATGTCTGTTGTGCCTGGCCTGGGATTCCCAGCATTAATACTGTATGGGTGATGTAACAGAAACATGATTAATGACTGTGTATCATTAATAAGTATTTCATTAACATCACCCTGGGGTTTTTTCTCTCCTGCCAACGCCCCTTGGTAAATCTTGTTGCTTTTTTAACATTCCTCTCTCTCTCTCTCATTTTCAGTTTTTTGCTCCACTCATCCCTGCACCCTCCCTTCCCTCACTCACCAAAAAAGCATTTGTCTGACTCATCCCTGGCTAATGAGTGGTAGGGTAAGGATGGGAGGAGGGGAGAAAAGGAGGGCAGGAATGAGGATCTGACTCATGTCTCATATGACTTGTGATTAAGCCTGGGAATGTGGTTATTGTTTTTCTGTATCACTGATTTCACTTTATACTGTCCTTATTTGTGCAGCTGGCAATAGTTATCAAATTCTATTGATCTCTTTTATACATCAGAGATGCATTTACAAATTTAGGCTTATTATGTATTTTTAAAGTAGTTTAAGATTTAATTTAGAGTTGAAACCGTGTCAACAACAATTACTTTTCCCGTATGTGGATCAAGTATGATTCGATTATATTTTATTGATGCTTGTGGGAAAATTGGGTTTATACACTCGTAAATAGTGATTAAATACAACCAAGAAAAAGACTAAAAACAGAACATAATTATGGTTGTTTGAAACTTCTCGACCACAGGAATTGATGAAAGAATGAGAATCAGAATCAGAATGAGTGGAGAGCTATAAACTGCATACAATACTAAGATGCATCCAAGGAGTACACCGTGAAGAAGCAGCACTAGAAAGGAGCTGCCCTTGTCAGTGCTCATTATATTTATCAGGGGACAGTGCTACTGTCTATGGTCTAGTCATCATCATTTTTATGTCCTATTATGTCAAGCATATTTGAATTTTTATTAATCTACTGACTGCCTGTAGAGTGTTCAAAGGGTCTAGGATTTGTTTTCCCACCTGATTCATATTGTTGTTCTATTTCTAATGTATATTTGTTAAAAGCTGGTTTTAACTGTGACTTTGCTGTTGGAAGAACAGTTTCCAGGAAAAGCATCAGGCTGGCCCAGATGTCAGCTTAGAGGAGCTTTGTATGCATAGCTGGGCTCGTTCCACCTCTCTTTCCCTCTCTCTCTCTCTCACACACACACACCAACACATACACACACACTTCCTGAGGTTTTGTATGCATAGCTGTACTCTCTTGTGAACAGAGCTTACTGGTATTAACCCAGTTTCACTTTTCATGCACCAAGGCCCTTTCCTAGGGGAACAGCCTTGTGGGATTGAGAGAGAAATGGAAGAGGCAGGAAGGATGGAGTGAGGGACTGAGAATACTTGTCAGGGCCCTTTTATCGTGTGTGAAACAAAAAGCAAATTTTCCCAAAGTGGTTTCCAAGGAAACTGTGCCGAATGAAAGTCAGGTGCAAACTAAAAAAAGGTCACCATGGGAGGTGACCTCCCACAGTTCTGTGACATTTCTTTAGCCAGTCATTGTCTGGCTAAAGAAATGTCCATCTTCATATCTTCTTAAAACCGACTATTAGATCAAATATGCTTGACAAAACAAACGTTTTTCATCCAGGTGGTGTGTTTATTTTTGTCTGTACTCTACCCCAGGTGCAGCTGAGCCAGGAGTGCATGCGGGCCATCATGAAGATGACTTATTGTCCCCACTGCCGCGGCATGGCCTCTGCCAGACCTTGTGCCAACTACTGCAGCAACGTCATGAAGGGCTGTCTGGCCAACCAGGCTGACCTCAACACAGAGTGGAGGCATCTGGCAGGTGGGGAGCACACACACATTCACATATGCCTCCAATTCAGCCATATGTTTGCTCAAAGGTTCACCCGACACATGATGTTACTTAGTGCAGGGAATGAGGCTGAATTATTCTAACCAGTGAACTACAGATGAAACATTTTACACTTTCTTTGCACTAACTGTACCACCTGTCTCTGTAGAAACAATGATACAGGTGGCTGGTCGTTTTGAAGGGCCATCTGGTGTGGATAGCGTGGTCCTCTCTCTCCCCTCCCGCATATCGGAAGCCATGTCTACCATGATGGAGAATATAAAGACCATCAATAGCAAGGTCAGAGCACACATTTGTGCATACATACAGCTCACTAACCCATACAAACAGTTTTTACAACACAGTATACAATGAAGAGTTGAGGCAAAAGACATCAAATGATATTGTGAGATCCAAAATGTTGCAAACATAAGTCTAAACGGCTGATATCAAGATATTTGAATAGTATTGATGTCAAACTAAATTTAGACTGTACTTACTGATCTCTGTACATGGTTGAAGACAGAGAGTGGATAACTGAACTGACTTGTAAAATACAACACACCCTCAACATCATTGGAGTAGTAGGTACGATGATCTTGCTTCAGGCTTGACCAATCAAATCAAATGGATTTCCTTGATTATTAAAGCAGTTCATTCTGTGCCACAACTGCCAATTTACTAATGGACGAGATCACTATGTTCTATCACAAAAGCTTTTTCTGAGAAAGAACTAATAGACCCTTACATGAGGTGCAGAATGTATGTCATTTTAATTAGGGTAATTGTGGCAGATTATGTCTCATTAACATGTTGCTCTAGTCATAGCAGAACCATTACCCTATGTAAATAAAAAAATATAGTTATATATATATATATATATATATATATTTTTTTTTTTTTTTTTTTTTTTTTTTTTAAAGCCAAACAGATGTCTGCTGCAAACTGCAAAAAACAAAAATGTAGCTACAGGTGAGCTCAACCATGAGCCAGTTCATGGCAGCTGAACAGTGATATTTCACTGCTCTAGTTTAACTTAAATATATATCATTTTTTCCTGCTTGAGGGAGGTCAATCAAAGTCAAATTGGCAAACAAATATCTAAAAAGGCCATGAAAACCTATGTTCTCGATTCAGCCTCTTAATATTAGCGAGGGGGTCCTACAGCACATAAACACACACACACAACTGTCTGCAACAATTAAGATTTTTTCACACGAGAGATTTCTGTTTTTGTGTTCATGTTTGTACTCTTCTCAGTGGTTTGAAAAGTGGCTCAGTTGGAAAAAAAATGTGCATGCACTTCTATGCACCAATCGGGATTTAGCAATGTTGGAATCAAAATGAGATGACAGTTGCCGGATTGTTTGCTCATGTAGCCAGGCGACTGTCTATCTAATCTGTTCAAAGCACACCCACATAGTCCCAAGGAGGCAGATTAGCAGATGTTTGTTTATGTAGTCATCCAACGGAGGTTAAAGTCAAGGGCAACTGGACTTGGTTGAAGATACTGGAAGACGTTTCGTCCCTCATCCAAGGGACTTCTTCAGTTCTGACTGACTGGTAGGGAAACTCAGCTATTTAACATCAGTGGGGTCGATACTGCTGGTTCGTTAGTGTTCCTGGTTCCTGTTGTTGTAACGACAGTTGTTATGGTCGTTAGGACTACCCCGTGGCCAAGACTGAACGACCATCATTGGCATCTTCACCTGAGGCCAATAGGTTACGTTTGTTGAACTAGCTCTCAGAATAGAATCCAGGAAACTCAATCCAGGATCCAGGAATCCAGGATCCTAATATTCATATCACCTGGTAAAGCAGGTTTTTGCAAACGAATGGACATTCAAATTCAATTCAATTCAAATTAGCTTTATTGGCATGAATGTGTAACAACAATATTGCCAATACGCTGGATCATTCAGTTAAGAGCCTGTGTCCCTTCTCACTATGCTACCCTATTGCCCCTACATTCATTTGTTTGTACAATTAACACTTATCCTACCACTAAATTAATGATGTTGCAATGCTTTACATAGCTAATTTAAAATAAAAGGACAACAGGTATCAGTTGTCAGGAGAGAGCCTGAAGGTCAAACGTTTACTTCACTGTTTAATGGTGTTTGAGCAACAGTTTATATGATCCTTGAAAGGCACTGGCAGCGATGGAAATCAGTGTTATTTGGTGAAGGTGGAAAACAGAGTAGATGGTGGGAGGAAAGACAAAGCTTCCCCTGTGCTGATTTGCTGTTAAAGAGCCTGGCTGGCTTGAGATGAGCCATAGCCTGGCTGACTGCCTCTGACCTGGTTCAGCATGGTAATCACACACAGCTTCAGCTTCTGATCTTCATCTCTAGGGGAAAGAGCTGTGCTGATCCCATAGAAGTCCACTCATGTCTATGGTCTAATATTATGGTAGACACAGTGTAGGACAGATTATCTTCTATTTACATAATATGTTGACATTGAAAGCCTCATGTACTTTTCCCATAAAAAGCAGACCAAATACAGATAAAATTTACTGCAATGTGCATAAGTAAATGTGCTTGAGGGCTATCTGCCACTACTCTGTTGTAACAGTCAACACCATATTTTTAATGTTAATTATTCAATCTACTGTGAGCCAGACAGCAACACCAACAAGTTGCTTGCTGACAGACACGACTCAAAGCTTAAGACAGGATTATTTTATCGTTATGTGTGAAGGTTCAAAGGCTAGAGATTCCTCTTAGCAGGCCAGATTGGATGACAGATTGACTGCAGTCTTACTGTATTCCCTGGGCTCCATTTATAAAATGCAAGCCTCATAGGGATGCATAGTACTTTCTTGAGCTGTGAATCATTCTGCTGGAGCGGTGCTGTGATTGATTCTCTTGGGGTTGTGCAAATAACCATTGCCACTTGTCACTGTTGGTTTTCAACAGTAGAGATCTGCATGTACTAATATGCTCAAAGGTTCTTTGTAGACAAGTTGGTCCAACAAACTGAAAACGTTTTGCAAATGCAGTTTGAGAGTGCGGTATGGATTTATAGGATTCTATTCAGAGAGCTAGTTCAAGTGTTAGATTTCAGCCTTGTTAACGCCAACACCAATGAAGATGTTTGGTTTGAACTACATATGGTAGGAAAATAGCATTTATAGAGCAAATGTTACAGGTCAAGTTAGCAGTTGTAGATGACTTTGACATTTCTCTCTTTCCTTCACTTTCTCGTGCCCTAGTTGTTCCAGGCATGTGGCAACCTCAGAGAAGGAGGAACCAGCAGCACGGGAGTTGACGATATCATGAAGAGAGGGAGGGTTACAGTGGAGGACAAGCTGGGATCCAGCTCTAACAAAATGGAAAAATTGGTTAGTATTTACCCAAGTGAATCTGTGTCCTTGTTATTGCTTTCTGGTGTTCTTATCTGGCCCATTTATATTAATGGTTTATGATACAGGAGCTATTGCTCATCACAGGCAATTAAACCCCTTTTGCTGTTCATTTCACCTTTACACAAACGACCATGGGGTGATTAGATGGGAATGAATGCTTGGGTGGATGAATGAGTCAGATGACTGAGCACTGCAGTTGGTTGTTGAGGAAGCAGGGTTTTTTTCTTACTCTCCTGTTTGAGTCTGCCACCATGCTGTGATTTGGGGCAAAGTGTAAAATCTCATGAATCTGCTCTTGTCAATCCTGCCTCAGGTGTCTGATGTAACCATGAGACTGAGGGACATGCAGCCGCACTGGGTTTCTCTCCCAAGTATTCTCTGCAGTGATAGAGTGGCCACTGGAACAGGAGCCGAGGATAAGTGTTGGAATGGCATGAACCGTGCCAGGTAGGGCAAATGAACCGATAAAGAAATGTATTTCAAAATAAATTATGAAAGTACAAAAATACTGAGTTAATCATTGCCATTTTTGGTCACAGATGATTAACATTTCCAGATGTATTTTATGTATATTTATATTAAACAAATGTTCATGTGTGCCAGGTACCTTCCTGAGGTCATGGGTGATGGGCTAGCCAGTCAGATCAACAACCCTGAAGTGGAAATTGACATCACCAAGCCGGACATGACAATACGGCAACAGATAATGCAGCTGAAGATCATGACTCACCGCCTGAAGAATGCTCTCAACGGCCAGGATGTGGACTTTCAGGACACCAGTGAGTATTTTTTTTACTTTTAACCCAGCCCACAAGTTTCTAAAGAAAATTCACAAGAAACTTCATCTCAGATGACTCACTGATGATTAGAATCTTTCAACAAGTTCTCAAGATTTATGGAAATAAACAACTCTATTTCTGTTTATCTGGGGAGGCAGCACACTACTTTGTACAAAATCTTGCACAATGGCAGTACATTTGGAATAAAGATGAAGGTATAAAAGTACTTGGCCTAAATCAAAGTGGCTTTTTGAATGATTTATCTCATATTTTATACCACATAATGTTAGCAACACAGGGTGATGCTGGCGGTAAAATTCCCATCCTTTTTCTGGGGCCTGCTCCTGGACAGTCAACCTCATATTTCTTGCTGGTAGTGAAGCAAATGCATGTGCACAGTATGTTTAATATGTTGGGGTGTATGTGGCAATTCTGTAAATTTTGTGTAGTTGTACCATTTAGTCCTGACCCACTGTCTATAGGTGATGATGCCAGCGGCTCCGGAAGTGGCATGTGTGCCGACGATATGTGTTCCCGGGGCCCACGCCGTGTTGCCCCCGTCACTGACCGAACCACACTCTACGCTTACCCTCCAGAAAACAAGAAGGTGAAAGCCTCGGCCAACCAGAACCTCCCCTGCATCACCATTTACCTGCTTTCACTGCTCACTTTGCTGCTCCGGCGATAATTGACGGGGGAATCTACCAACTGGGACTGAGTTTGGGACACAGGGGTTGGGGAGAGTCGGAAAGGGGAGGAAGGAGGAGCTGGGGCTTAGTTACTTTGCCAAAACTAAATAAGTATAAGGAAACAAAAAAAAATAAAAAATCACTTGGATGGACTTCCTTTTGGTTTTGGATTAGAACAAAATGGGATTACGAGTATTCATAAATGTTTCGGTTCTGCTCTTTTCTTTTATTTCTTGCTATATTATGACGCCATTAGAGCTGGTCTTTTCGCATCTTCTAATGTTTTGTCTCTGGTGTTTGGGTTCTCTGAGATTATATCTTTACCTAAGACATGTGTATATTGTTAACAGTATCTTGGTGTTGACACCACAGGGAGAGGGAGAATGGGGCTATGCAGTGGCGCTCATTTGTTATTTCACTCCTTTAAAATAGCACTTGTGTGAAGTAGCATTATTTATTTATTAATAACTCACAATAGACCCCCGAAGTGGTTTAGTCACTCTCTGACATTTATAGATGAATAAAGTACACAAACCACAAACTTAAATAAAATAAAATATTGATGACTTTAAAGGAGGATAATCTGAACAGCATGACCCACCAGACCTCTTAATGCATTAAGCCTCACAATACCATTACACTTTCTCACAGCGAGGATGAGAGCACTCCGCGTCAGCACTTTTTGCCATTTCGTCATGTAAGCTGTAATAATAACATGGATCGGATTCACGCTGACATGATCATCTGATGGGGAGAAATGTGACCCTGTCCCCCACTCCATCCATCCACTCATCCCTACATTGCACCTACCACCCACCCCACTGAGGCAGATCTCCCTCTCTCTCCAGACCCTGCTGGCCGTGTAGGATCAACTCAAGAGTCTGGTGTAAGCAAAAAACACATGCTAATCCAGGCAAGGTCTCAGATGACTGCAGCTTCCCATTATAGAGCACTGTATGTGGAATGGGGGTGTCAGTTTAAGATTGCTCTGACAGCAAAGGATTGATAGTTCATGATTTTGGAAACATGTAGCAGAACAGAAATGTACACAGAAGCAGAAACACACTCTGCTGTCATGTAGCGCTTTTTTTCAGTATTCTTTTTATGTAAACATCATAGCAAAGCAAATAATACATGCATCATTTTGTGTGCTCCCTGCAAAGGCCCAGTGCTCCTGTGATTAGCTTCATAATTGCAACTAGCAGTGTCATACGTAATTGTCTAATTGCAGCAATGATCCTTATCACAGTAAACGCCACACCATGCACGTCTTTGAATTGCACCACTATTTCTATGGCAGACACAACGGTGTACATATTTTTGATTGCTTCTTTGTTGTTTTCTAGAAAAAAAAATAGCCAATTAGGTATCAAAATTTTATAATGGTCAGATCATTGTATGCTATAACTCTTATTTCATTCATCATCTGTCATAGTGTATCCGTATCTGCCTTCCATGTCCCTGCAACTTTTCTATATCAGTGCCTCTTTCTTCCCTCCCTCTACTCCCTCTGCCCTCCTTCCCGCTCATCAGTTATAATGACCTTTAAAACGTTCCTCATGCTTCTACATGATGGCGAGGCAATATGACAATGACACAGTGCTTCATTATGTGTCAACCTTACTGGGAATGTTGTGGGAACACACTGGTGAGGCGTTTCTTGATGAGAAGCTTGCTGGGGAGGAAACTCATACCTACATTTTAATTCAAAGAAATGTCAAAGCTCTCATTTAAGAACGCTGTGTGCAGGATGATGGGACAATGTGTGCGAGTGTGTGTTTGTGTGCGAATGTGCGTACTTGTCTTTGATTGATAGAGCAAAAAAAGGGACAGACGATAGAGCCTTTATAAATCTTGTTTGGATGGCACCGAAATGAAATGTATAGAAATGTATTGGACGAACATCATATGACAGAGTGCTATTCAACTGACAGCAATGGAAGGTTAATATAGCTCATTTTTCAAAAATGGTATTTTAAACCTACTACTGTAATAACTCCCAATCTGTATTGATGGTATCTCTGCTTGGCAGTATTATATGTGACGGAGAAATTGAATGTGGAGGACATGCTTTCAGACCATCATTGATTCAGTTGCACACTGGGACAATCCACTATAATTCATTTTATGACAGCTGATAATACTGTCGATCCAATTAAGTAGTTGATGGCTCTGTCAAAGTTCAAGAAGCACATCTGGTAGACACTTGGTTAATTACAGCTCTGAAAATGGGTGTGGTTGATGGCATATGTGTAACCTGACAGTTAATTGAAATGTTTTTTCTTTTCATTTTTTTTGACGTTCTTCATTAATGTTTGCTGCGCGTATGTGTGTTTGTGTATGTGTGGCTATGTGCGTCTGTCTTTCTGTTAGTCCCTGGTTAAGAAAACTGCCTGTGACTGCCTTTGACACTTTGTCTTGGGTTGGGGTCAACTGAGATTTAAGAAGAGTGATATAAATGATATTAGATGTTCCAGTCGGGGTAAAAAAACACACATTTTGAACAAAGAACAATTAGCAAGGGCACCACGTGGATCTTCTTTGTGTGAGCCTCTTGAAAAATCTGAATATGAATGTGAAAGCACACATTTAGCCCTGTAAAGAATGAGAAATGACTCCAACTGTGATGGTGACATTCCAATTCAAAGACGACTTGTAACTCACAACTTCAGTTTCAATGACTGCCTCACAATGTCATCGGCTGAAATTTGCACACCCCCGCTCCCCCTTCTCCTTCTACACCTTTTGATCTCATTAATTTGTTGCTCAGAGTCCCCCTCCCTTTTATAAAACCTGCACTTTTATGAGGCCAATAAATGGCATTGTCTGCACAAAGACATCACAAGATGGTCGATCAATACGCGAGTCAACACCTTCCAGAAACGACTATTGATTGGAGATGTGTGTATGCAGATAGATATGGCCCAGCGAGACGTCTCCTGATCAACTATGGTGAAACAGTGTAAATAAAAAAGCCCCTGTGTGTGAGGGAGGCAGGAGGAAGGTGTGTTCAGAGTGCTGGTCTCAGAGCAGTTTGTGCACCTCAGTTCTGCCCTCATTTCATTAGGTGGCATAAATGCCAAGCTGATTATCCCACCGTTTGAAGACAGCTTTATTCTACACTGAGTTGTATATGAGAGGAATTCTTAAAGGTGCCAATTTATGAGGAAAAAGGTACTTTTAATTTTCTTGTTTTTATTTACTTTGGTTTTGTTGTTATCGGAAATATATGGAGAGTTTGTGCTTATGGTGAAGATAGATGACAGAAAGAGGTTGAAAAATACAAATGTCTCATTTGCTGTTGTACCTGAAATCTTGTGTCAATTATATACATTGTAAGATTTTCAACATGCCTGTCTCCTGAGTCTTTTATTGTTTTATACTTACATCTCATAGATCTTGAAAAAAAGGTTTAAAATTATATTCAAAAACCACTTGCAAATCCATTGTGTCTAGGTTTCTTAGAAAAAGGAAGTGTCTGTTTTTTTTCAAATTCTCCATCCCATCTGCCCAAGTTGTTTCCCAGAGCCCACTGGGGCACACTGCCACCTAAAAAGGGCCAATGCACTGATGTCAGAGGTGACAGCTGCTGTCTGGTGTTGCCACACAGCAAAAACGACCACATGTTCAGCACGCACTAAGTGCTTTGTCTTGTTATGTAGACAATAGAATGATCACCCCTCTCAGGATGGCTTTAACAAGGTGTACTTGACCATGATCCTATGAGAGACTGAAATGCCGCAATTCACATACAGCTCTGCTATAAAGAAAGTGTTTCAAATATCTGCATAGAAGCTTAGACTTTTGTTCTAGTTCAGAGCTGCAGTATCTCATTGTCTGTCATGAGGTTACAAATTACAAAAGTGAAACATGCCAGGAGAAAAGGCAACATGCAGTTGGGTCATAGCAGCAATATTTAACCAAAATTATGAATATCAAAGTATGTTACAATAAATATCCAGTGCCACCCTTTCTGTTTCTAAACAGTGGTAAAAAACACAGAGTCCTTTGTTGCAGGAAGACCTTGTTTTGATGCCACAACATGGGGATACAAAGACAAACTCTGCTGTGTCCAAATAAATGTAACAACCCCTGCTCTCAAAATTTTTAAAATCTATCTTGTGCCTAATATATTATTTAGTCAGTGATATGGTGCATTTGTCTCCCTACAGTGAGATAATCGTATTATTTACTGAAATTATCAATCATCTCTCTGCAGCCCTGTTTCTGTACACACACACAAACACACACACACACACACACGCAGACACATTCACATTCTCAGCTATCGATTGTGTCTGAAGCTTTTCACCTTCTCTCTCACTCACAGCACACACAGTTGCACAAATACACAGGAGTTATTCTCAGCCTTTTGGCTCTCAGCTTGCCCTTTGGTTCACAGCACTTTTATGAGCGACTGCTTCGCAGCCTTAGATGGTCTCTGTATTGGAAATATCAGCTCGACGGGGCAAAACGCTTGTCGGTAAAATCTTCTCAGCTCAACACACCCTGAACTGCTTTTGCCTTCAGGCTCCATCACATCTTAGCTACCAGGATTGTGCACTTTATCGCATGAAACCGATTCAAATGTATTATTCTCAGAAATGTATTGAATAGTGGGTAATGACGTACTACATCATATTTTAAATACATTTCCAGTTCAATATGAGAGCAACATATTAGGTATGAGTTAAAAGAAATGCAATCCCTGGAGTAGTGGAGAAAATTGTCTTATCGTCTCATTCTCTCCTCGGCAGCAGGTGTCATGGTAAACCTACCAAATCTTTTAACGCTGCGTTACAAGTCAATGTTTGATAAAAGTAAACATGGTATTTGGAGTAGTTATCCCATTGTCTGAGCTGTGTTATCCCACCTATTTGAATTTGGATTACACAAAGAATGCACGCAGGTTTTAGCATCAAAATGCCAAAAGAAAAATTCAAAGAGAGAGAGATCCCCTGTAATTTTTAACAGTCTCGGGTCTGGAAGTTCAGCCAAAACTAACCAGAGGGAGTCTGTTCACCATCTAAATCTCCCTACATGGCTGCAAATGTGTGCTGTGCTCTTTTCCTCTATTTTTTATTAGACATGTTCTCACCTTTTTTTTTTTTGCTCTTTGATCTGCTTTGTAATTTAGCTGAAGCCTCCCTCTTTGTTCCTCCCTCTAACCCTCTCCAGTATCGAGCTCTCTGAGTTGTTATATAATTGTACATCAGTGCTTATATAAATTTATATTCTAAATATATTATATATTTGAGATCTGAATATGAGATGGGCCAAATATAAAAAGCTCACACAGATGCTGCTCCACCTCAGGCTTGTACAGTACAAATGCACATACTGCCACCCAGTGGGGAAAGGGTTTCATTACACTTTAAGGAAAAATTAGCTCGCACGTCATGAAAGTGATGGGTTCCTTACGACACGAAATATAATTTGTGATTGTTAGGACAAACTTGACATGAAAAAACTGCCTTAAAAGCATGAATGACAACCTTTGAAAGTTCTGGCAAATTCTTCCCAAAAAATATTTACAGACCCCATTAGGTTTTTATAGAATGGTAATGACAAAAACTCACTAGATACATGTTGACGCACTAATTTCTTTTGAAGTGTAACATTTCTACCAGCTAAAACTCTTGTGTCTGTCGACCTTTAGTGGTTGAAGCTTCCATGTACTGTAGAAGTCAGGTTATGTTCATTCCACCCAACAATAAGATCTCAATAGTATAAGCAGAAATTTGAGACAAAATTTAAAAGTTTTAACTTTAATTTGAATGTCCATAATAACATCTTTACTTGTAATGTCTGTGTTGTAAAGATCTACATCAGGGGTTTTCAAAGTCAGACTGTTGGCCGCCCCTCAGACAAAGCTTGAGAAAAAGTGCTCCCCCTCCCCCCTCAGTTTACTTGTTTAGTTTCACTCAATTCCTGCCTGTGGGATCATGATTATGTTATTTGATCTTATAGACACTCAATAATTGAGGCAAAATAGCATGGTATTGCCATTTGACATAATTTCAGACAACACCAAATACATTAAGAAAGGTCAGTCCTAAGGCATTCATTAGTTTCTGACTCTGGTAATGTTGGAATAACAGTTCACACAGTCACACACATGGGCTATTCCAATGTTATCTCCATTTGATAACTAATATAACAACTAATGTAATATTGTTTCACTTCCATTTACTGAGCCTCCTCTGAAAGTGTTTGGAGCCCCCCTGGGGAAGCCCGCCTCTCATTTTGAAAACCTCTGATCTATATGTTAGTTGTTTGGATAATTGCTTGACCTCTGTTTTAATTCTTAATACTGGTTTGCAGTTGTTTCAACTGTTCTTTTCTAGTTTAGAAACGATTGCCATAATGGCTCCCAGACTGACCCTGAAATAAATAACATTACACTGACAGGTAGAATATTCTGACAGTTAAAGAATAGCCTATTTCCTGGGCACCAGAACATCTGTACCATGGTGTCAGTGCATGTTGAACAGCTTTATTCAGTGGGTGACTAGGGGGCCTTTGTTATGGAGGTTAAACTATGCAATGATGGAATCCTGGAGATGGTTACACCAAATGAGACTGTAGGGACGATGGATCAAGAAGAAATGCCTAGAGGAGCATCTGACCTCTGATGGATTTGCAACCACCATGTCCAATGTTTTTTTTATTTTTATTAAGTGATGAAGCCTGTTCATTCAAAATGATTGCAAACCAAAATGTCATATGTCAAATGTCATGGTCATGGTTTATGTAATTCCACAGCTACGCCCTTCAGGATGGATTGGGTTCCTACTTATCACCAGTAGGGGTCGATGTTGCAGTCAGATTGAGGCTGCCCTGCAGGCTTCAAATGAGGCTACCCCAACAATTCTAAAACCTGACAAGAATATACTGTAGTTGCATTATTATTATTATGATGACTGGTTGCCCCGGCCTTTCTGAGTGGAGTTTGCATGTTCTCCCGTGTCTGCGTGGGTTCTCTCCAGGTGCTCCGGCTTCCTCCCACCATCCAAAGACATGCAGCCTTAGGTGTGGGTGTGAGTGTGGCTGGTTGTTTGTCTATGTGTGGCCCTGGGATGGACTGGCAACCTGTGTACCCCGCGTCGCCCAATGTCAGCTGGGATCGGCTCCAGCCCCCCGCGACCCTGTACGCAGAATAAGCGGTTGTCGATGGATGGATAATAACAATGGGCACTGACAGAAGAGTGACGGGTAAAATAAAGTGCCATTTTCAGGTAACTTTTCAGAACATTTTCTGGCTCTCAGGTTTCAATGCCCTAACATCTATATTCAGAAAGAGCTAGCCAGAACGCACAGATAAACGGAACTTCATTTAGGATAATTGTTTTAGAATTGTAGATGCAGTTTAATGTTCAACAGTAAATGTTACACACACAGCAAAGTGTAGATGTAGCACTTCTGAGTTAGTGCCAGTGTGAAACAATAGAAGAAGGTAAATATCTTACAGTACCTTACAAATGCTGGGCCGTGTCAAATGTCAGACATTACCTTTAAAACAATGATAAAATAATATCTGGTGCGAGATGTCATATTGTGGTAGGCTACTGGCTCTTGAAACTGCAAACAACAACACATGAAAATGGGATATTGTTTGTATCAGGCTATGGAGAGAAAAATAAACTGACAAAAAATTGCTTTTATATGTCATGTTTAATATGTCAGCAAAGAATGTGATCTGGCTACTGACTAGACTGAAATGTCCTTGAATTTGTGCCAGAAAAACTAGTCACAAGGTACATAATGACATCAGATTCTAAATACATTTAGTCATGAGACCACAGTTTTTGTTTTGCAAACATTGTTTGCAAATAAACTTTTACTTTCAAAAGTAGCTCTGTATCTCATGTATAGTATCATGTATGAAATCCCTGTGCATAAGACTCTCGATTTCCATCTGTGTGGCTGTTTAAAGGTAAGCTTCATGAGTGTAGCCATGTATCATGGCAGTAACTATCTCTATAGCCAGGTGGCGCTGTGGCATCACCACGTAGCTGAACACAGCAGTAAATCAAGTGTTTGTTTGGCACCACAGGAAGTGTTTTCACTCAATGCTGGGAAGTGGCAGTGCTCTACCAATAGGCGTCCCTTCCTCATGCTGAACACACAAGGAAGAAAGCAACACAAATATATAATTAACACAATTGCTACAGTGTCAACACACTTTTCCAGCAGCTTGGAAGGATTCCTGATGACACTTCTTGAATCCAGCTGACATTTGAGCAGCCCACGGGACTTAAGCCATCTTCTGTGACCTATAACAATCCATAATAACCTCTGACCCCTGACCTTCTCAGTTGTCATGCTTCTCCTGGAGTTCATCTGGGAG